CCCCAAAACCCCAAAACCCCAAAACCCCAAAACCCCATAATTCCTAGACGTCTTTGAATTATATAATAAATATGTTAGAAGGCTTATTTCCTTCATACCAGAAAAGGCTTACATACAAAGGATACTCCTTCTTTATCAACCTAGTAGTGCTACTTGTAATTATAGCTTGCTTCTTAATTCCAACTGTAATATTGCACTTGGTGCAATGTGTTAGACTAAGAAAAATAAAGAATCAAAGATTGATTAGGAAAGAGAAGCCTGATGAACCTGATACAGATGAAGATAATATGGAAGAGTTAAATGAGCTTGCGGAATACTCTACTTTTCCTTCAAATAATGGCCAACAGAGGATCCATACGAGTTATGAAGTACTTGAGAATCCTATTGGGAGTAATGAATCTTGGTCCTTTTACATTATAACAATTATGATATTAGTTACTGAAATACTCTCAGCGTTCTCTATTTTAGGGATAGTTGACTTACTTTTAATGTATGGATACATTCATCAAACAAAGTCATTCATGCTTTGGAAGTATATTGTTTGGATATCGTTTCTGTTTCTAGCTTATGGAAGAATCATATTTGCCTGAAGCAGATATGAGAAAACCTATCTGCTCCTAATCAACAAGCGATTTGTTTGTTTCGCAGCTCTAGCAGTAATATTCTTGAGTTATACAACAAGTGTTACAATATTTACATCTGGCTTATGAATGGCCTCTCATTCATCTCTTTTGGAAGGGTTTGGAATAGGGCGTTTTGTAATATCAACATCATTTATGAGGGGTATGTATCCATCTACATGATCTGCTGATTCTTACCCATGTATGGCTTATATGACTTTGCCAGAAAACTCAGTAAATGAGGCCTTTATCAATTTCCACATTAACCAGGAATCATGATTAGATTGGTAAGAAAGTTTCATCTAATTTATAGGGAATGAAAACCTGTTTTAAAGTATATAGAGTATGATCAAAGAAGTATGCTAAAATTTCATTCTTTCTAGGCTCAAACACACCATGGACTAGAATATCTCCAAACATAGGTGAATTTTCATCTCTCCCATCTGAATATGAAAGTAGAAATATTTTTACTGCGTATCTAAAGGACCTTAAACCAAATATGAGATACATCTTTTCTATCTCTGATGAAGGAGCTGAAAGATATTCAGAGAAATTCTCATTCAAAACTTTTGATCCAAATAACTTCGTCATTCTGAACGGGGGAGATATTGGTATAAATCCTGAAGCTAGAGAAATGAATAATGTTGGACTTGCAAATCATCGAGGAGATCTTATGATGATTGGAGGAGATATTTCATATGATAATAACTTTCCTCAATGATATAGGGCAACAGATAAGATACTCCATGAGATTCCTCACTCTTGGAAAGATTCTGGGAGTAGGTATACTAACCTAATACCGATGATCAAGGCTCCAGGAAATCATGATTTTGGTGTGAACCCTAATAATCATATAAATATTGTCCACGATCAACATGAGCCATTATATAAACACTATTATACTCAGAATTCATTTGAACAAGGTGTACCTCCTCTTAGCCAAAGGAAAAGCTATTTTTATCATACAATCGGGTCGACTGCTGTAATTATCTCCTTGGACTCAGGATACGATACTGATCTATATGGGGAGCAAGCTGAATGGCTTGACTCTATCCTAAATAAACACAATGACTATCCTATAAAGATTGTTCATTACCATGAACCTATCTACCCTGCTTGAGAATATGCGAAGGATGAAACACAAAACTTAGGGAAGAGATACTGGGTCCCTATCTTTGATAAGTACAACGTCACTATTGTTTTTGAGAACCATAATCACAGTCTTAAGAGAACATTCAAACTTCGAGATAACGGGATTGATCCAAATGGAGTTATCTACATTGGTGATGGAGCATGGGGAGCTATTGATAACCCTTGAAGAGTCAAAGATAATGGATTTATAGCCAAGTATGAGGCCAAGAATCATGTATGGGAAATGGCGATTGATATGTCTCAAGAAGATCAGTAAGCTTGCCAATTCAATATTTTAGAATATCTCTCAGAGCTATTGGGAAAAATAAAGAGATTCTGGATCATATAAAGTTGCGAGTTTAAAGATTTTCAACTTTCAGAAACATTCAGGGGTTTTGGGGTTTTGGGGTTTTGGGGTTTTGGGGTTTTGGGGTTTTGGGGTTTTGGGG